TAGTAATATCATGATGTGTAGAATTATAAAAAAAATTTGAGAAATAATATGTCTGGAGGGGTGCTGGGCCCCTAGGCCCCCCTGGATCCGTCCCTGTGTGCACTTAAATCTTTATTACTTGGTAAATTAAAAATATTGTTTATCAGTGACAATAATAATAATAATAATTTACAACAATTTATATTAAAAATACTATCCTATCTTTTATGAGATATCGATAATTTTTAATTTRATGTTTTTAACAGAAATGTTCACGTGTTAATAGAAAAATAAACTAACCTACCTATATCCAAATCAATATTGGTACCTAACTGTTTTTAGTACAATACTTATACAATCATAAAAGTTCATAAGTGATGTACTCTCACCATCAAATTGTATTCAAATAAAAGAATTTAAAAGTTTTACAATATTTACCTAGTTAATTTAATTTTAATAATAGAAACCCAAGTAGACACATAAGTTTTTTTCAGTACTTACCTCTCTCTCTAAATAACTGTCCAACGACTCAGTCTCATTGTACAATGTTACTGTGCACTTTCCACGTATATGTGTTGCAGCCAATGTTTCTACTTGCCTGCTTAAGAACAATTCCCGTTGTTTAAGCTGTTCACCACGCCACCAGTCATGCTGTGGTTGTGTGCCTTGAGTTGTCTTATCTTCGTCTTTTACAATATCTGAAGCTGTTACACACAATTATTAATAATTACACACATAATTTTAATATCAACAATACACAAAAATATAAGCAATTTATTTACATTTATCATTGGTTTCAACATCATCACCATCTACTCGAGCATCTCCACTTTTGACAACAGCGGATACAGCAGAATTAATTTCTATTTCATCTGACATCTCAACATCCTGCTGTTGTTGCTGTTCCTCTTTTACAATTTCATTTACTTCAGATGTTTCTATTTTTTTGGCAGTTTGTTCTTCATTCTGCTGCTCTTTTTTTACCATCGGTAAGGCCCCACCAGCACTAGTGTCTTGTTCTTTTTTATCCGTACTAGCATCTTTATCAGTGACTGAAGATTTGATTATAGATGATTGCTTACCACCACCTTTAACAGTGCTATTTCCACCAGGAGATAATGATAAAGTCAAAGATAGTTGCTGCTGCTGCTGGTGTTGTTGGTGTTTATCAGCCAGCGCTACAAGTTGAGCTGGAAGGTCTCTTCTCCTATAGAAACACATGACTTTGGCTTCCACATTGCCACCAGCAGTCTTATTGAGCTCTTCGATTCTACGTATTTGGAAAGGTTGTTGCTGCTGATGATGCATAGATTGTTGCTGCTGCTGTTGCTGTTGTTGAGCCTCAAAGTATACATAATCTACAAAAAATATGTGTTTGTAAATAACAAAATATACACCTATAAAGATATTTTACATCCACCTAGGTATATGGTTTGTATAACGATATACCCTCAACACCTGTAATTAGTTCACAAATTGGTACCTATCACTGCTATATACGTTGCCTCAACTTATATAAGCTCTTTTACCATCAAAGTTTATTTRAGTAACTTATCTCATAAATAATCTAAGACTTAGAACAACTAATACTATAAACGAGAACATCGCAAATCGACAAAACAATGTAGACGATGTGTCAACCCAAATTCAACTGAAACTCACCTCCAACGCGGTACATATTGCTGCCGCCGGTACTCGTGTTGTTGCTATTGCTGTTGTTACTGCCACTGTTTATGGTCGCCATGAGAGTAGCGTGTATTGTGACACGAATCGAATTTGACTGCTCGTTGGGGCACGAAAACACTTTTCGTCAAGAACGCAAATTCGACGTCTGACTGGTAATGATGTTGGCTAGGTCAATTGAAAATATGTACTGGCTGCAACAAGCCGCTGACGCCGCTAGGGCATCTTACTGTCGTGTATTGCGAACCGCCGCCGCCGACACCGCCGGCCGGTATAATTTTCAGACGGTATTGAAGAGCGAATACCGCTKACCAAGCGGGGCTATTTACGCTGTTGTGTCGAACAACGAAAACACAAACAATACAGTAATACACGATTGTAAATAAACAAACGGCGACGACCAAACAAACACGTACGTACCTACGACGTCGGTGTTGTTATTCTTTGCACACACACATACACACAAAAACTCAAACACACACACACACACACACACCAAGCAAAAGCACACACACGCACGGACGCCGCGTTCACACACACACACACACACACACGCACGCCCGCACGAACACGCACTACGCACACGAATGTACCAACACACAGCACAACACGCTGCTGTTTTGCGGTTTACGACGCGAGTATGCGACAGCGGCGCGGCGTAGCGTTTGTTGTTATAATTTATTTAATTGTCGAAATCGTCGGATAATCACTGTTAGCGCAGCAGCGTCACCTCCATTACCGGTGTGGAGGCTGGCGAAGCCCTGTCCCTACTGGCTACAGTACCTATGCACTGATGCACGAGTATTATATTATTATTATGGAGCTGCTCTCTAGTATACCAATAAGATAGGACTTCGAAATGCCATTTGACAATCGCTATTTACAATAAATGATTTCAATTAGTTATCGTCAGTAATTATAGGTTGCGTGTTCACGACTTGTACAAGGTGACAATGCATTATTTTAAAAAATATTGAAAACATTTATTTTGCAAAATTTAGTCATTTAAAACTATTTTAAAATTATTTTTTTCAATTCTTAATCATGGTCATTTCGTATGTTTTATTTTTTTGTGAAGCATTTTTTAATCTGTCATAAACTTAAAAGAAACTTTTTTTATTGCAATTTTYAGTTATTGAAAACTAAATATGTGGTATTAATGTATTATGACGTGGTCGTATGTAATAATTACTAATTTTTCAAACTTCAAACAAAATATGTTATTATTGTAATGGTTATGTCATTATAAAACAAATACAATAATAATACAATTCAATGCAGGTAGGGTATAGCCCGGTMTAGGGCATCAGTACATAGGATATATTGGTACCTATACRATTGCGTCTTTTTGTATAGTAAATTAAAATTTAATAATTAAAAATCATGACTAATAAGTAATTACTATTTATTTTTCGATGTATCAATCCTAAAAACATGAATGATTCAATACCTAGTCCATTAGTCAGTACTAAAACCATATAGTGTAATACTGTAATATATAATATATTATATATATAATATATATTATATATATTATATAATATAGGACGCCATATGGAACAAAAAAAGGTACGAAAAAATAATTTTACCTATCTGAGTGTGGACACAATCGACAAACTAAAATAAAGGTTATGAGACACAATAGAGTGATTCAGAATCTATACGTATTACCTGTAGGTATACCCTATGGGCGTATATCGATTCCACCGAAATTACCTTTTTACCTGTAAAAAATCTATTGAATCCCCCGAACTTTTTATGTATTGATTTTGCCGGCTATCAACTCCGCCGAACTTAATCACATCGGTTTTCATATATCTTAATCAATATAATCTATAAAATTGTAGACATATTTTGTTACACGTAGGTACATTGATATTATTAGAAATGCATAATATTAGAGAATGCTCAATTCAACAAAGCACATCCTAATATATTTTTGTTTACGCATGTGGCATGTATTCAATTTAAAGATTCAAACTGATACATATATAATAATAAAAGGGCTCGATAATAATGAAGTAAATAAAAATAAAAATTGTGAAAGAAAAAATAAATACATTGAAACAATTTTTGAAGACTATTTAAATAAAAAAATTGATAGATTTATAAGTATATAAAACTGACATCAAAGCACTATTCTGAAAACTAAATCAATCAATATAATTATTATATTTTATTATTGCATTTTAGTTACTATTTACTATTATTTATTTTATTTTTTCTATATTATTTTAGCTGTTTTGGCGTTAACTAAATACATTTTAAAACATATTATTTTACTATTTTAATAAATTTTACTTACAAGAATGTTTGARTTGTTTTTTGGAATGTTTGTATTTAAATTTAAAAAATTATGGTAAACTAGGTTATCTTATACCTACACTACTGATTAAAAAATATACAATCAGTGGAATCAACAACCGAAATTGATAGCCGGCGGAATCAATAAATATAAAAGTTGGTGCGATCACGTCATAACGAATGTCACAATATTGGAACAAATGAACAAGAATCTGGGATTAGTGACAACAATAAGTCAATAAAAACACGTAGACCTGGGACATTTTATGCGACATTCAGAAAAATATAGTCAACTACAATTAATAATACAAGGCAAAGTAGCTGGAAGAAGCAGCCGTGGAAGGCCACAAATTTCTTGAATGGACAACCTTCGAAAGTGGTTCAATATATTATCAACGATATCTCTATTCAGAACAGTCGTTAATATAGAGATCAAATAGCTAACATGATTGTCAACGTTCGATAACGAATACGGCATTCGAAGACGAAGATAGTAACTAAATACTAGGTACTATTACTTTTTGACTTTTTGTACACTACCTAATCAAAGAATAAAAAGCTCTTTTCGCTTTTAGAGTTCTTTAGTTACACGATGTATAACTTACAGGATCATTATTTGCGGTCAAGGAAACGGAAAGAGGGTGTTGAGTGGGATAGATCTTCTCACTTTTTTCACTTTCAATTCGACGTTTTTTCAATGTTTTATAACTATCATAACTTACTAAATAACCTAATCTTATTTCATTCATAAATAAATAAGTCAAGAACATTACAAAATTCAAATGAATTACTCCAATTCCAGCTAAACCAATATTACCTACCTATGTTATGGTTTATAGAACAAACCATAAATAAATATCATTCTAACTTTTAATTTTTAAATATCTATTCAGCTATTAAAGAGGACGTCGCACCAACATCTGTTTTCTCCGTCTTACACGCGTACTATATAGCAAATTGTACGCTCAGCAGAACACGTGTAGCTCCGTTAGTTTAAAAATTAGAGTGAATTTACCTTTTATAAAATCTATATAGGTAAGATTATTATCTAGATAACCTCTTAAGATTTTTGTTATATTTTAATTTTAAAGCGAGTTATGACTATTTCAAGATGTACAAACAATTTACAATGTTAAAATGTTCATAACTCACTTTAAAATTAAAATATAATAAAAAGCGTATGAGGTTATCTAGATAATAATCTTACCTTTAGATTTTATATAGGTAAATTAACTCCAATTTTTAAACTAATGGAGCTACACGTGTTCTGCTAAGCGTACAATTTGATATGTCGTACGCGTGTAAGACGGAAACAATATATGCGGGTGAGACGTCCTCTTACTCGTCCCCTCGTAACTAGCACCCTAAAAAATAGTTTAAAAAGTTGGGTCCCACTAAGTCACTAAAAACCCGAGAGCTAAAGCACCTTATTTAAATGTCAAGTTGCGATGATGGTTATTTTAATATATTGCATATTCATAGAATAGGTATGTTATAATAATTATTACTAGGGCCCTGAAGTTTATGCGCTAAAAACTAACGAAATATGTATGCACTTATGCGCTTAAAAATCCTRATATATGCGCTTAAATATGCTCTTATATTTTTTTTTAACTTATAAACATGAGGAAAAAAAAATATTAGTTATGAATTTATGAGATACTACTCACGATTTTTAATTCAATTTTTTTGACTGGTGATTAAAAACAATAAAAACATTATTTTATTAATTAATAYACATTTTTACACATTACAATTATTGATAACCGTTATTGATAGCTATCACTCATTACGTCTTATCATAATATTTTAATTCATTCCTAAAATTACAACTGAATTGAACTATATTTGATATTAAATGTGTTAGCAATCAATTATATTCTTATAATAAATGTGCAAACTAAAATTTTGTGTCGTAATGGAACATTAGATAAACATAAAAATAATTATCTTGTTGGATTTCGTCATCGATTAAAGTATTAAAATATATAAGTACTTACAGCAATTCATTTGATTATAATTATATATATTTAAAACTGTAAGACCTCTATTAAATTAATATGCTATTTTTTTATTTATTTTTTCAAGTCTGGAAACTATGGTCATTAGCTGTTTGTTGGGGGAAGGGGTCGTTGGTTTAGAGCACGTAACGTATATAATATGTGGCAAATATTTTGTAGTTAAAATTTCCTGGTGGTCACCCATCCAGGAGCTAACGACGCCGATCAGTGCATTTACTCAGAGTGCCTACGCAACTGGGAATACACATTCGGCTACACCAAACCACACTATATTATTTGTTAACTTTAAAATAGGTAAATCTTAAATTTTATATAAAAGAAAAGAAAAGTTTTTTAATGATCTGGGGCTTTATCTACTATTTAAATGACCCAAAGGTGAAAGGTCTTTATAAATATGATTAATATATTATGATAAATTATATATTACATGCTATAGCAGTATAGCTATAAATAATAAATACTTTATACGTTGATGGAATCATTGAAATCACTTCCAATGAAGTTGTTCTGGCATTATTAATCTAAAACATTAAATTAAGTCGTAAGGTTAAGTTAGGTTTCGTGTTTGTGTGTAAATTCTTTGATTTAGTTTATCATTTTAGACAGCATATTATTATCACGGTGAATTACGTTGTTTCTTTTTGTTGTTAATTTCTTTTTTTTATTTGTATAACTCTTCCTCCCCCCCCCCCACAACCTCTTAAAATAGATCCTAGTTGCAACACTGGTTGGCGGTGACGGAGAAAAGCTCTCTAATAAAGGGCCAGATTGAGCTTAATCGATGTAAGGAACGATTCTTTTATTTTTCCAATTCAAACACTATATATCGGTACGATACCTACAAATATTACAGATTTTTATTTAATTGATTTAGTTATAATCAGTAATTTTATACATACAATTATAATTTATTATAGGTATTCATAACATATTTGAAAATGTATTTTGTTCTTAGATTTTAGATACAATTACACTCAACAAATAGTATATAATCAATGGTACAAAAATAATTATTATCATTCATCATGATTGTATATATTGTCTTCACAACTTATACTGATTGTTAAGTATTTTCACTATAATAATATTATTTTGTTATATCAATAAAATCCATTATTAACTTTACATAACCTAGTTAAAATGACAATAGTTACGATTATAATGATATGTAATTGGTTTTGTATCATTGATCATGCTAATACAACTATTATCAATTTAACAAGGTAGTTTGTTGGCTCTAATGCTCTATAACAWCAAGAATTTTGGCAATCTAACATAGAATTTAATCACTGTGAATGTAATTGTTTTTCGTAGTACGATCAATAATATCAATCTTTTAGGCGAATCATACATTTTTCTGATGCAGTCTTTGTGATGTTTATAGGTGGACCACTAATTTCATTGATACAAAAGGGGAACAAAATTACATATTAAATAATAAACAATATTTTGATATTATATTTAAAGTTATCAAATAGAAAATAAAAAAAAATAGGGGGATTTCCACGATTCTTCGTTTATGACCTCTACCGGCATCGTGAATCATGATTCATGATAGATTATACATATAATTTTATGTTAAACAATTAAACTTCTACTACACGTCCACACTGGTTATCGGTATGTTGCGAAATATAAAAAAAAATGTCTATTTATATTGCACGTGTTCAAAGTTTAAAAATATCGATGTTTTCTATACGACCGTGACGTGGCAAACGATTTTGTATACTAAGTTTTGACATTTTGCCGGAACTATTTGATGTGATGAAATATAAATCATTGTAATCTCACCAAAAATAATATCCTACCTCCATCATACGAACGTTACGAACACGGGTCGGCGATTATACTGACAGATCCGTCACCGGCGAAGCGTTGCGGTTCGTCACGGAGCGTATCGGAACGAACGGCCCGAACGGGTCAGCGTCCGTTGCGGCGTCGCGTCACCTCCAAGCCGGTACAGCGATGACGTTGCACATACAATCGAGTTGTCTGTGACTGTACCCGCCGTTATCGCGTCGGTCGGCCCAACTCGGTTGACGTGGGCGTTCCGGGGACCGGGGTGTGCGGTACTGCGGTTGCATGCATGGTGCATGACACTCGAAAGACAACCGTCGTGTCCGTCGGCCATATTTGTTCAAGCGTCGTCGTCGTCGTCGTCGTCATCGGCACCCCTCCGCCACCGCTGTCGCCCATACCGTTCCCCTGCCCCGCCTGCCTATTAGCTCAGTTATTGTGTGACGTGTGTGTCGGGAGTTCGGGAGGTCTGCCGCCGTGTCTGTGTATCATCGACGTTTTATCAAACGGGAGAAATAAAGAGAGAAAAAAATATACACATACACCCGCCCATTGCGCCATACTGCCATAGTCACCGCCGTTGCTGTAACAATATTGCGTCTTTACACAGTGCACACGAAATCACACTTATTGTGTTTYCGCATCCCGACGACTCGTTTCCACGGCGCACATCACTCACTTACGTCGCTCGTGACCGTTCTCGTCCCGTTTCGACTGAAAACGTACGTATTATTATAACTACGCAATCGACTACAAGGCAATCAAATATATTCATTAACATTCCGCAGCAGCTCGTTATCACTCGACGTCGTTGTCGTATCTACGCGAACGCCCCTTAGCCTCTGCCGCAAGCAATCTTCGTCGCCATTGTAGTCGTCATCTCTGAAAAACTTACCAACAAAACTTGACAACATGAGTCCGGATTAGTAAGTATCTCGCGTTAAACACGATCTCGGGGATGTTAATTTGTCGTTGCACCTCATTCCGCCACACGACTCCCTTCAATGTCATTTTCGATATTCGGATCGTGTCGTTGATGATGTGTCCATTTGTGTTTTTAGCGATTACTTGTTCAAGCTGCTGCTGATTGGCGATTCAGGCGTTGGAAAATCATGCTTGCTCTTGCGGTTTGCCGACGATACATATACCGATTCGTACATAAGCACCATTGGCGTGGATTTTGTAAGTTCAATTATATTTAGAACATATAACGGTTGGTGACCAGAGCTTACTTGTTTGTGGCATGTACATATTTTTACACTTTTTGATATGCCACTGAACTATTCTCTATCTAATTCTGATGATATTCTAATGCTGATTTTTTTATGAAGTCTTGTATAAGATTTCAGTAGTGTTAAATATTATGTATTATRTAATAATATTCCACTATTTTACTTACTATGATATTAACAATTACTTTATTATGACAATAATATATATACTTGTATACGTATAGAAAATCCGCACCATCAAACTGGACAATAAGACTGTGAAGCTTCAAATCGTGAGTATTATATTTATTATCTTATTTAAATACCTACTTTTTTTTATTAATAATTGTGAATTGAATTATCTATTACGATTCAGAAAATCAAGATTGTTAAAACAATTACTTTAAGGTTTAAATGATCTAAGTTCTATATTGTACTGAAAACCTAACAACCTTGATTTTTTTCTTATTATGATTTAAATATATTTCAATTTCTATGTCACATATGTAATTATAATTATAGGCTTGATTATAGGTCAATAATAGAAAAAAACATTTTATTTTTATAAAAATATACTTATAATTCCTAACAAAATATTTATAAGTTTCTGAAACATTTCTTAGTAATTTAAATATTTTACATTCCTATGAGATTAACATTTGTGCTTAGTAGTATAACTTTTTGTTTAGAATACTATTATTAGTAATAACATATTTTTCAGTATTTTCAAAATGTTTAACAGTTAATATTAATAAAATAATTTTATGAAGGTAAATATCAATACTAGTAAATGAAAAATAACACTTGATTACCAAACAACATTTGTTGGTTAAATACACATAGATTTTGTCCTTTTTCTTCTTCTTGTGTTCAGTTAATAGGTTAATTGTTAATTGTTGGTAATATTGATGAATAATTTTATTTTTTCATTAAAGTTTATAATTTTACCTTTGGTATTTTTGCATTTTTCAAACTATTTTCATAATTACCTATGTAAAAATAAAAGCCTCAAGAGTCTTATTCATTCTTTAAATTATTTTTTATTTTTATCATATCTTAAAAATGCTTCAACCACTCTTAGATTTTAGTGTAGGGTATTTTCCTTAATTAAAATATCCTACTTTTGAACACTACATACACTCATTGTTTTTTTGATATAATACGAATCCTTCAATAGCATAGTTGCTCAAATTTTAATTGAAYAAAAAATTCTTATGTCTTGGTATAGATCAAATTTAAAAGGACGCTATCCACATATTAATTGTTTTCGTCTTACAAGTGCATAACAAAGTAAATTTACGCTTAGCAGATTACATAAAGCTTTGTTAGTTTAAAAATTATAATAAATTGACCTATTATAAATCTTAATGGTAAGAACATTATCTGTATTTGTTATATTTGGATATTCACAATAACTTAGTTTTTAAGTGAGTTATGATAATTTTTAATTAGTGCTTTTTTATACACGTATAACTTGCTACAACATTAAAATATTATAAAAAAAACCCACTTACAAACACAGATAATATGTTCTTACCATCAAGTTTCATAATAGGTCAATTAATTCTAACTTTTAAATTAACGGAGTTAAACGTGATCTGCTAAGCGTAAATTTGGTATGGTATGTAATTGTAAGACGGAGAYAGCAAATATGTGTGTAGTATCTTCTTAATATTTACAAATTATGAAAACCTCTTACCAATAAGTTATTAATTATTACTAAATAATATATTATTAATTTTTTTTTTTATTCAGTGGGATACTGCAGGGCAAGAGCGTTTCCGTACAATCACATCATCATATTATCGTGGAGCACATGGCATCATTGTCGTGTATGATTGCACAGATATGGAGACATTCACTAATCTGAAACAGTGGCTAGAGGAAATAGCTAGGTATGCATGTGATAATGTCAACAAGTTACTGGTGGGTAACAAGTGCGACTTGCACGACAAGCGTGCTGTGGATGAAGCAACAGCCAAAGTTAGTATAGATGTTAAATACAGGTCTACCATGTAATAGTCTTAGTTGTCATTATATATATAGCAAAATACCAGCTAAATATTGTTGATAAATAAAAAAGTATATAAATAACATAAGATATGTACAAATGTTTTATATGCCTAAACAGGAATATGCTGACCATCTAAAAATCCCGTTCTTGGAAACGTCTGCTAAACAAGCAACTAATGTGGAATTGGCATTTTTAACTATGGCTGCCGAGATTAAGAACCGTATTGGACCACTAGATAGCCAAGGGCCAGGAGGGGCAGCTGATGGGGTTGGAAAAGTAACAATTGATTCAAAATCATCCGACACATCTGGTGGGTCAGGTGGTTGCTGTTAATGATACCATGACAATGTCATCGTAAGCATTGCAGAACGCTTGTGGACAACTTACTATCGTTACTGATGATGAAGAACCGAGCTACAGACGGAGATAGATGATATATATATGTATATATATATATTTACAACTACTAATTAAAACAAATTTCAAGTTGGGGAAATACATTTTTGAATCCAAAATACATTTAAAAAATAATAAAATAGAAGTGTGCCATTGGCATGCTCACCGCCAGTTCACCCCTGCCCACTACTGTCTTAAATTATTATATTTTTTCAACGCGTTTATTTTGTGTACATATACATAATATTATATATTTTATTATTATTATTATTATTATTATTACCTTTAATTATTAATTACGTCATCATAGCAGCATCAGTCGTGGTTTGTTCTTTATTATTATTATTATTATTTTTATTCCGTTTCTTTATATTATTATAATAATCGTCAATGTTATTCGCATACAACCTCCTCCAAAATACCAAAAACATTCCTATTATCTCTGTGCTCAACCAGATAAAAAAAAGCTTAAAAATAATTCGACAACAACCTATTGTCAACTTGTCGATGAATCTCCTTAATCCCTTACACAACACACTTATATGCTGTTATTATTCAATTACATAGATTTGTATGCGAACCCTCCCTCCGCACTTTTGCACATTGTGTAAATTTCAATTTTCTAGAATTTACTAAAGTCACTCTGCAAAACTAAATTTTTTTTTTAAATATAATATACTACATATTATCTGCCTGCCAGCAAACAGTTAATTAATATATATTATCTGTATACATATGAATGTACTTTTATATATTATTATTATTATTATTATTATTATTATAATTATTATAAATAGTTTTTGTCGTGGTATTTTCTTTTTTTGTTACACCATTAATAAATATATATACATATATATATTTATACAATACAATAATATAAAAATAGAAATTAATTAATAAATGAAGATGACCGTCGTTACTTTAGTTTTATGTATGTAACCAACCTTGATAGAATCATAATTATACAATGCCTACAAGGTAAAACACTTAAATGTCAAATCAAGTAACAAAATTAACCTTTTTTATTTTCTATGAATGTTTTATTATTACCTATGTGTTTGCTGATTTATATATTTATATTTTATTATTAAGTCTTACTCATCCAACATTTCAAATACTTGAAATATATGTAATATTATTATCTAATGGTACGTGGATTATATGAAGTTTTAATATGGGATGATACAACTTTTTAATAATGTTCAACAAATTCCTAAATCCAACCAACTATCATAATAAAATCTATTAATCGTCTTAATTTAAAATATTAAATAAATAATATAACTATAGTTAAATAACTTTAAATGTTAAAGTAAAATAAATAAGAATTGTATATATATATATATATATTCTATATGTAGAATGGAGTTTTGTGGTTAAAATAAACTATAGGAAACGTTGGTATTTTTATAACTAATTATGTAAGTTTATTGAAATATATTGAGCTGATATTAAGTTGTATATTGTTATAGCATTACATATTACAGAGTTAACTTGCAATATTTTATCTGTCAGGATCAACAACCAAAGATTAAAGATCAATTTATTGTATTAACATAAAATTGTATTATTATATTTTTTAAATGTCTAAGTTTAATCAAATGGAAGGTAATATTATTAGTTCATGTTGATTACAATATATAAGTTAACTAAATACTGAAACAACAAATATTTGTGCACAGGTATAATTGTGAATTTCCAGACATACATATATTTCTTGAATTACTCCTTATTAATTTTATTTTAACAATTTTGTCATATTTAAAGTAGCATCTTTTTTAAATTTTTTGTCAGGTCTTCCTGTACGCTCATTAGATAGATAAATAATTAACAACAAAATCAATGAAAATGATAAAAAAAATTGTATAAATCAATCATAATTGGATGTTCATCATTAGTGAAGAATTAAATATTTCAATTACATCTCATAACAAACAATTGAAGTGATAAATTTTAATTGTTGAATGGATTAATACCTATCTTTTTTCTACTCTAGGGTAACTGCTGCAACTATTTACAATGTGGATAACATAAATGTTAAATTTAGTCTACTGACTATTTGAAATTCAGCAGCATAGTACAAAATGTTTAAATTGAATCATCATATGTTAAAAGGATATAAGTATTTTAATGTGTACAAAAAATTTGGAATTTTWAAATAYTCACAACTCCGCTTGAAAATTTAAATATAGTATAAAACTCAAGAGGTCGCTTAAATAATACTCCTATCTTTTAATTTTTTTAAGAGGTCAATTCACTCCAATTTTTAAACTAGTGGAGCTAAATATGATCTGCTAAGCGTAAATTTTGGTACGTTACACGCTTGTAAAACAGACAACACGTCATGCGGGTATCACAACCTCTTAATTTAAACACCACATGAAATTTGGGAAGGTTGGAGATAACTGACGAGACATTAGAAATAAACTTTAAATAATAAATTAAAAAATTTTATTAGTAACTTTTATTACATCAACGTCCTGTTGATTAACGTTTGTTTACAATTCAATAAGACAAATTCAATTACACAAAATAATAGAGTATTTGTTCAAAATACTCAAAATAAAACTTATAATAATAATAGTAAAAAAAAATCACTACTCAATAGTAGGTACACTTATTAAAAAAAATCAATATACAAGATTCTTCAACAATAAAAGTAAAGGTAATGGATAAACAACAGGAACTACTTGGTCTGCGCATCAAAGAAAAGTTAAACGTCATTTTTGCGCAAATTTTTTAAATTTTGTCACACAAAAYGTAACTACATACAGTTAATATTATAATTCAATAACTTAACAAAACATAACACAAAAACTAAAACTGGTTAGTTTGCAACAAATAGCACCGACCTTGGTAATTATTAATTTTTCTGTTTAAAAATGTTTTTATTAATTTATTATCACTAGCGTGGCAAAGAGGCCGTAGCAATTTTTGRAGCTCGACGAGCGTTGATTTTTCTGARTGATGGCACCACCGTARTTTGATCAGCTGTACKTCTTCTGTCCTTGTTTCTTGTATCAAACTTCTGATATGCCATGTTTGACAAGCTGGTCTGGCTCGATTGTAGTAGTGGTGGCCGATGCTGGGCACTACAACACCAACGCCAAACGGCCAGAGCGTTCACGACGGCTGGATTTACAGTTTCCTCTATGTTTGACAGATACAGTTGCAGATCCTCCTCGCCTGCAGACCATCCATCACCATTCTTAATCAGCTCCRACACCATCAAACACAAAGATCGGACATCAGATACGGCGGCGCTACTATCCAGTAACAGCTTAGTGGCCGCATCAAAACCACCTAGCTTRTATAGGACACGGTCACCATCCAAGGCTGAATAGATATTCGGGCGGMTGACGCGATTGTGTGCATACATTTTGCCGTCATGTAAATAGTGGAGTGCGCACGAAATGTGTTCCAACACAGTCCGGCAGTCGACAATGTTGTTCATGGGCAATGACTGCAGGCTTGACTGGCAYAGTTCAGTTTGCATGTAATGATAACGTGGRTCCATCCAGTTGCARAAGTATGAGAYAATGTGTGGGTGTGGACCAACAGTCGCCAATACTTTTGCTGTTTCAATTAAGTTATCACCAGCCAAACCGACGGCTGCCACGCGCACAGTATAAGTAATGCCCTCAAACACCGACAGACATTCAAACTGGTCACATGCGGGTGACAACGAAGTCTGTACCGCATCAACTTCTCTTATCATATCCTTTGCCTGCAGATCTGTGCCTGCCGACATTCGAAATCCATACTGTCCAAGTGATTCACAGTAGTCATCACAGGAACTATGACTGTTCACGACAAAACCACGAGAYGACAGAGAGTCAATGATAATCTGATAAGAATTATCTTCTGAAGTAGTCTGAAAARCAAAAAATTATTTTGTTTTTAAAACAACCTCAAGCTCAAGGACTGGTGACAACATAAATTATTATTGTGCAGCAGCTCAATAAAAATCATACAATCGCAAATTAATTAAATATTAATGACCATTTATTTATGACAATTTAAATTACAAATAAACAATTAATTTTAATAAAATGCATATAATACATACAGGGTGAGTCACCAAGCATACTCACCCAGTCATCCCCATTTTTTCCTTTAATAATGAATTTATTAAAATTCTAACTTTTGGAATTTTCAAATATACTCAAAAACCATATTTTCAAATTCTTGAGATTTTGTTGTACTACTAAAGGAGTGTCATGTAGCGACTAACTTCTGTTTTTTCAAATGAGAACCCCCTTTTTACTATAAATTATTTAGAAGATAATTATTTTTAAATTTTAATGTAGGTATGTACCTAATTGAAAATTAGAATGGTAGTTTCATAGTTATTAAAATATTTGTACTAAGAATAATAGTCCTTAAAAATTGTTTTCAAAAGTATAAAATACAGTAGTACTGTTAGAACTAATATTTGCGATACTTAGGTCATTTTTAAAGATTATTTATGTTGATACATTAATATTAAAGACTAATATTTTCAAATCTACCTTGGACCACATATCTTACAAACCTAAACCATGGACATTTTATCCTTAGAACACAAAGTTAAATAACTTAAGAACAACTCATTAGAATTTTGATTTCAATACATAAGAAATCTTAAAAAAAATATCAATTAAATAATTTATAGTAAAAAATTGGAATTCTCATTTGAAAAACAAAAGTTGTATCACTACAGGACACACCTTAAGTCGTACAAAACAATATTAAATTCGAGTGTATTTATAGATTCTAAAAATCAGACTTTGAATAACTGCATTAATAATAAGAAAAAAAGGAGGTGGGAATGCTTGGTGAATCACCCCATATACCAGACATATTTAAAAAAAAAAACAAATAAGGCTATTTTTTATCCTCTCATCTTTATTAAGACTGCACTGTTGGTTAGCTTATTATTTTACTATTATTTACCTTTTCTTCCAAGACATCATTTGGTTGAGAGATGATCATATTTTGTTGATTAACAGGCTTGTTTAGGCTAACTTTTTCTTCATCATCAAACAGCAAACGTCTAGAAGTGCGTTTTATCTGTCCAATTTTTTCTGTAATATAATAAAAGATATTATCATTATATTTATCAATTATTAATGTTATACATTTATTAGTAGTTGTTACACATTATCTTCTATGAAATAGYTACCAATGAAAACATTGATTTCCAATGCTAATATTGTGGCATGTGTACATTATCCTAATGGCTATATCATTTAAGACGATGGAACAAATGCATTTTACCACGTCCCTCACAAATTTTGAAATTTTTTTTTCTAAAAGACGTGTTTTTCAATGCTGATTTCGAAACTGTTTGAATTTTTGTGCGGAACCTATTATTTTGAAAGTTATAGCCTTCCAAATTTGGCACTCAACACCAATTGCGCTCAATTTTAATTTGACTATGTTCTATATTTATATCAATATCACTATTTTATAACTATCTCATTATTACTAAATTGTTAATTAAATTATCTTTATGATAATAAAATAAGCTCTATTAAGTTATTTTGCAATTATCAACAAGTAGACAGGCTAATGAGTATATTGTATACCTAGTCAGTTAAAGTAAAAGAGGTATATAGTGGCTCCCTTCGCCTGCCTGTTCTAGACGCCAAACTCGAGGTTAGCCTCCAAACCCCCCGGGACTTAAATAGCTAACCTGTGTGGGGAGGACAACCACTTTGGGGTCGTGAGAGGAGGTCCCTGCACTACGGTCAGACAAATGACCTAACAAGTTAACTGAACCTTGTTAGTTAAAGTAACACACAAGTGGCTCCGGTCTTCAAACTAAAGGAACCTTTCTTCGTCTGCCAGCTACAGTCGTCAAACCTCGAGTTGCTCTTCGCCGCAGTAAATTATAGAGTGGCACGMAWKCGTATAAACGTAAAATCGCAAACTTTGGAGGGCTATAACTTCCAAAATAATGATTTCCGCAAAAAAATCCAAATAATTCCTAAATCAGTATAAAAAAACCTGTCTTTTAAAAAACAAATTTTTGAAATTCGTGAGGGGCATGGTAAAGTGTATTTTAGCCAAGACGATCAATAAAAAGGTAACAATTCCCCGAATTAATGAGTATCATTCATGCAATAGGCCTCATAAAAAATTGCATTCATACCAGATCTTTTCATTTATTTGAGTTTTATGATAAAATAAATAAATACTTTACTATTAAATAGATGGCCCAAATAAAAATTATTTGCCTGAAATTATTCCTCATACAATCATCATCTAGACTCAAACAGGAAACACAATCAAAATAAATGAAGAGAGTTCATGTCTATTTAATTTTAATATTAACCAATTTCAAAAGCAAAAACACTGTAATACACAGATTCATTTCTAATTTACTGAGTCATTTGTATTATTGATGTCCTACTTTGAATGGATATCTCTATACAAAATATATTTTATGGTATCCGGACAATTTCCCCCCCGATTGTTTTTGGCGTAGTAGGACATTTTCCCCCCATTTTTTTTAAAGTTTATTATTAAATACTATTATATTATTTATTGTTTAATAAGAAATTATTTTTTGTTTAATAAAATAATATTTTTATATTAAATAATATTATTCCTCCTTATTTATACGTAATGCTATAAAGAAAAACACAGGTAGAACAAATAATATAAGTGAAGGTTTCAATAACAAATTTAAAACTTTGGTAAGAACTCAGCATCCTAATATTTGGATGTTCATTGAAGCACTACAAAAGTTAAGGTACGGTTTTTCACAAAATAAAATAAATATGAAAGACGATTACAAAATATGTGCTTAGATATAAAAAAGAATCAGAAATTAAATGTTTTTTACAARATACCTATATCATTTTTATGTCGAAATTTTTAGACTATTATACTTATATAATTGTTTTACGTTTTATTATATAATTTTTATTATGTTTATG